ACGGAACAAGTCGCCACATGTTCCAACCCCCAACCTGGAGGGCCAGGAGACTGTGTTCGTCAGACCTCTAACCATTGACCAACCTGGTATGAAAGACTCTGTGAGTGGCGGACGGACACCCCCCAGTATAGCTCAATGGGTCTCCGAGGTACACAAACCGCCACAACACGGTAAGGTCCAGTCTCTTCGTGAAGGCGAACTCGTAAGGTCCAGTCTCTTCGTGACGGTAGGCGAACTCATAGAGAAAGATGCAGAATCCAAGCGATATGCACACGAATAGCACGATTTAACTGAGCAGCAGTGTGAGGCACTCCCTGCATGCACTTTCATTGCAAAAAGGGCTATTCTGTCGTCCCTTCCACTGTGCCAACTACCCGGACGGTGTGTAATTCGCGCCGCTTCATTGATCTTCATGTTTGTTTTTGTTGGAACGCTAAAAATGTGTTGAATCTCAGTGCAATGCAGTTTCACGACATCCCATAAGTTGCAAACAGTACGCCCACATTTGTGTGCCGTGCAACGGAATCTCAAGGTCAGACGATCGTCGCCTGCCTCTTGTTTGGGCCGAGCGACCCCACATTTTTGTCAAACAACAATGCAGTGGCATTTGTGGCTTACTGTGTAAGGTAGTATTATGCACAGTGAAACTGACTACGGTGGTTGCTAACCGTACATTCGAATTGCCTAAACAATAGCGAAATCGCCGTTTTCGGCGGCAACTCGAACGATCCACATCGTTTGTTTTCACCATATATGTACAAGTTTTCTTCTAAGCAGAATAATAAAGCAAACTAGGGACGTTGAATGATAGTTTTTCAAGCACAGGTGTGTCACATGTACTTTTTTTATCACTGCGGTAATGAGTTTCATTCAACCTAAAGTGAACTTCCATTCGCACACCAATGACTCTGTCACGTGGAGGGGGACTAACTTGGCTTCGAGGTCACCACACCCAATGGGCGACAGACGGTCTCGTTTGGGGATAAACGAGTGTTGTCAAATGGTGACCCTCCATGCAACGATGGCTTTGAAGGCCAGACCGCTTGATCAGCATACACTGCGAGCATCAAGTATCGAGGTTAAGTGAGGCCATTTAGTTGGTTTTCGGTGTTGGTGTGTTGTAACCGAAAACACCAAAAAATGCTGAGAAGAATTCCAACACGGTTCCAACACGGAAAATGAAACACTTTTGCGTGAAGGTCCTGGCAACCTGGTCAGAACGTTTGCGCACGTCTGAAAAGTCACGCATTCCCGGCAGAGACCTGTCATCAAAAACGGATGTGTATGCTGGAGAGGACTCTTCTTGTGAGCTTGAATGTGTCCGACTTTAATGAGGCAAGCCTGGACAAGGGTGAACACCACTTACCCGAAGCTGTCCGACCAGCATCTTGCAACTGAATTTTCAGCAATTCCATCGGAGTCGTTACAATGATCTGGCAGGTGCCGGCACCAGCACCAGCGAGCATTTCGCGGAATGGAGTGAGTGACTTGCTGGAAAGATGGAACGGAAAGACGGGGATCATTACAGATCAACAGGACGCGTCACACAACACAATTGTAGGCTAACTTCATTACAGAAGCCAACTCCCGTTTATTCAGCCACTTGGAAGCCGCATACTGTCACTCGCCATCCAGATGGACCGATGAAGTCAAACCAGTATCGTAGTAGAGCGGTGGTAATTTGTGGGTAAGGCAAATCTCCCCTTTGTAACCAGCAAATCGGCACGTGGAACTCGAAAAGCTCCCAAACACGATGACAAACCCGGCCGTTGGAATTATGAATAGGTCAAAACCGTTTAATCTATTAGAACAATACGTGTTGCTTCACTGCACTCGGTCGCCCTCATCCCGTTACCTCCACCAGTCGAAATGGTTTGCGGGGGTGTGACCATCACTTACAAACAGCTACTTGAATCTGCAGAAGACCGCCATGAGGACAAAAAAAAGCCTACTAGTGAAGAAAGTTTGGCTTGTTCGACGCTCACCGTTGGAATAAAGTACATGAGTGTCACAGGTCGATCCAGCTGGCAACTCAGAGAACGTCTGAAAAGGTCTCCTTTTTCATTTTGACTCTCTCTTAACTAACAGGATCTTCACAGATGAGCTGCACAATAATGATAAATAAAAAGTGACGATGATGATGATGTTGATTCAGCTAATGAGCTGCACAATAATGATAAATAAAAAGCGACGATGATGATGATGATTCAGCTATAGCATCCTGTCAGTGCCTAGCTGCCATGCTCCCGGAAGGAAACCCAAGGGATACTACCAGGTTGCCCGAACCTAGACAGGGGTCGGGTTCGAACCACGAACTTTCCGGTCAGTAAATTCGTGCTTTAACCACTGAGCTACCTCGCACCCTTGAGCTACACAGTCGTATAATAGTTCAACGACTTCTGCGATGATGATCTTTCAGGATCATGTGTTCGTACTTTGCGAACGTTGTTCACATGGCACCATTTGTAACCGAACGAGTGTTGCGGTTTCGCAACTGTTTACTGACTACGCTACAAGACAGATCTACGGTGAAAAAGGCATCAGCAGGCGAGCACATTAAAAATACGAATACATGCAATCCGAGAACGCAATGACTCACCCTTCCTGCTTTAGGTGATACCGGAAAAAGTCATTTCCGACCAGTTTGATCGCTTTCTCTGGGGTGATCAGGAGTAGATTGACACCACTACCTGAGTGAGAAGACCAAACAAGATTAGGATGAAACAGGAGAAGGATAGTTGGACTGATTAACAGTTTCCCAAAAGATTGTAGCATTCGTCCGACTGTAATACCCTTTCGGGTCACAGCTGCCACAACATCCGAAGGTAGCACAAGGGCTGAGACATTGCCAGGTTACCCAAGCTTACGGAGAAACAGCAGAGATTCCAAGGTTGGCTTTGAACCTCAACTTTCAGATCAGGAAGTTCGTGCCCTGACCGCTGAGCTATCTTTGTCACATGGGTCGAAAGGAGGAGAGACGACTCAGTGGTTAGAGCCGCGAATTTACTGA